TATATATATAGTTACATGCGAATGAGTATATAATTACATACGATTGAATTGCAACATCCATGTTCCGGTCTGAATTTCACACTATTGAGAAATTATTTACAGAAGTGTATGATTACATTATCATTTTATGTCATTTGAATACTGTTTTATAATTATTATATTCCACGTATATATTTAAAAAGTGTGATATACAGTAAGATATTGTATTTATAAATATTATATATTTATAAAATGATGAAAAAAAAATAAGGTTGAATAAAAGTGGGATATCCCCTACAAAAGAGAGAAAAAAAAACATTGGGTAAGCACTGTATTTATGGAGAGAATATATAATATTGTAAATTATGTTCTGTATTTTCTTAAAACATAAACGTTGTAGATCATATCTAACTTTTGTCACCAGAACCTACAGCACATAACATAGGCCTATTTTGATTTGTTGTTGTTGTTAGGGACGGTACTAATTCTTCCAGAACTGAGCTTTTGCACAACATTGACCCTCTGTGGACTGTACCTGGCGGCCGAAATTGGGTTGTTAAAGACAGTCCCTTCAACGTCAAAATTAATGCTGCACTAAGGCAAGGAGACTGGAAAATTATCACTGGTGACTTTGGTAAGCATCCTTCCAATATCAGCTTTTGCTTAACCTATACATGTTAAAATGTTAATACGTTTTACTACCATTTAGAGATTATTCAGTCAGTCGGATGCACTGTTGGACCGACACTTAAGCTAAACGAAAAGTTACAAATATTTGTATTACAATTAAAATTACCAGAATGACAAGTTTACAGAACAAAAAATACATTATAGGTATACATACTATAACAGTTACTTAGGACATAAGAAAAATTTACGTAACATGCAATAACAGTTACAACGAACATACATTGCAATGTAACGTTTCAACCCAGTTGCCTCACCTGTATCAATCCGATCTTCTTTGAGCTGAGCCCGGCCGCATGGTTTTTTCCCATACAGTCTGAGGCATAAGTTATAGAGGGCCCTTTGTAAGGTCATTAATTTTCACACTGTCTGAACTACCAAGGACTATTTTAGAGATTTTAGCCTACGCCGTAGCTTTCATAAACTATGATGTGTAAAATCATATTATTGGTCTTCCCTACGGCATCATATAAAAAGCGGTGGTACAGACCTGAATTCTGTTCACTAGACAACTCATTACATATAATGTAACACAAGAAAAAAACAAACAAAATCATACATTGCCCAGGACACACTTTAATCCTGAGTAACATATCGTAATAAAACACATTATCGGCCTAAATAATATAACATTTTTGAAACATTATTATTTCAGGACTTTTCGGATGGTATGCACCCCCTGATACTAACATCACGAGCATCCCGGGACATCGAATATCTAAACAAGTGACCTGGTTATTCAATATCAAGGAGGATCCACTAGAAATGAATGACCTCTCTGATGAGCACCCTGATATACTCTTTTCCTTGTTAGGGAAACTTCAAGAATACTATCTTGATTCAGTGCCTGTATTTTATCCAGATCCCCAGCAGGATCAAGCAGACCCTTGTTTAAATGGTAATGACTGTGTCTGGGGACCATGGACACCAATCTAAGCAAACTTAATAAGGTTCTAAATTGTAGCTTCAAACACAATTATGTGTCTTCTCTGTCTCTGTAATGAGCTAACATATTGGAGTTACCATGGTAATGTTTAGTTGTTTAGTTTAGGATCGTAGTTGTTCTTAGTTTGAATATTTTTGATGATTGACTATTTTAACCTTTAATTAGGTTACGTACTTTCGTGTTTTAGAGTCTACATCTGTAAAAGCATACGTCTAAATTACTTATAATGTAGAAAATTAAAGTGACCGATTTCATGAAACTGGACCTCTGTCTTTTATTGGTAATAAGGTGTGCTTTTCCAGTCTCGTTTTTGTAAAATTGTGGAATTATTAATTTCTTAATAGTTTTCTTTAATGAAAAATGTTTTTTTTTACAAAATAATTTATCAACCAAAAACCATGCGCACACAGGGACTGAAGAAGACAGGAAAGCATTAGTACATAATGAATACAAAGGACGAGGATTTTGATTAAATATTACAAAAATGAATGTGATACATAACACTAATGATACAAACACGTCCGTACTCGATGCTTGTTCACAACTGAACTGAAAAAAATGTTAAACCTTAATATAATATTTTAAAGATTACTATTAATTTAACATTAAGTAATATAAATGAAATAGCTAATAATTACATTAATAATAATTAAAAAATAATAATAATAAACAACACTATTTCACATGCTTAGTATTCCGTTATTATAATATAATTTTATATTCAAAACGGCCCGGATTGGTGGACATACTGTAAAAATCAATCGTTGTTTACGTATTTACCCCGGTCACAAACGAAAACAAGTAGTAGCACCATGATTTTCCTGACGGTAAATTCGATGTCTATTATACACCAACAAATATAAACGTTTCCTTCGGATAAACGCCTCCCTTGAATAAACGCCCCCTCAAAGACTAGCATCAACGTAAGTGCCCTGTTTATTCGAATAAATACGGTATTTCAATATTTACCATTTGCCAATAATCTGTTGACAATACATTGTGCAAACATGATATTGCTGTCACCAAGCTAAAAGAATCCCGAATTTTGGCTTTCATCTTCCTGAAATAATTGTTGAGTTATGCAATGACCTCGTGCGCCCAATTTTAGAGCATGGTTACCTGCCTGGCTTTTCTAGGATTGGCGCTATTACATCATTAGAGTATGTCCAACGTAGGATGACAAGATGTCACATATTCTCGGAGACGTGGAATTCTCTGAAATTTTGTTTATTAAAATAGACTTATTTTATTATTGTTTCCGTTGCCGCTAAATGCTTATAAAATCAGTACACTGCCATTTCTCTTACATTTATGCATAGATATAACACAGTGATCGTGTTAAGTTCATCTTTTCAATTATTGTCCGATCGTTATGGGACTCGTTTTCTCTGACCTCAGAGACGAACTTTTAGCATATCTAATTTTCTCGAGAAGCTTAAAATTCATGTGTAATCGTAAGTGAGATCGGAAGGTAGTTTGTTGAAATTTTTTTCTTTTACTTTTTAATGTTGTTTCTTGTATTTTTTTTACGTACATTTATCTATTTATATAATACTGAATATATATATATATATATATATATATATATATATATATTATATTATATTTAATGTTCTAAATTTTACTGTTATACCCTTGTCGGAGAGAAAAAAAAAACAGTTCACAGCAGTTTAGTTTGCTTTGGTTATCCTGCCACCGAAAATGCGAAACAAATGCAATGAAATCTACGAAACCAAGCAGCGCTATTATTACATCAAGATCTATGATTACATTTTAACTGTTTATTTCTGAGCATCTCCTTCGTGACGGCGAATAGTGCGAAAGTCGGGACCTACACCTGGGAACCAAAATAATGTGAGTAATTGATGCGGTTTCAAGTATTTTGCTTCAATAACCATTCTTAACAATATCTAAACAGTAGAATAAGTCTGAAAAACCCCTGAAGGTGTAATAATTCATTTATGGTATTTATTGAACACACAGCAGAGTAAAGTACAACAATACTACGATAAAATGAAAGTCACCTTTGCTATTTGCCCACATACACAATAAAATAAGTAAACACACTAAATTCACTCAAGGACAGTAAACACCCTGGCGCATTCACAGAAAGTTCAGGGGGTATTCAAAGGGCACTTTTTCATTTTACTTAATCTGAAGGAAACCTTAATCTTTTCACAAAAATACGTTCAACAACACGTCTTATTATTGTTATTTTATTGTCAATGTCAAGGATATATCTAGGGATCGTTTAGTTTGTTATCTGTTCTAGGCCTATAGGTTTATCGTCAGTGACAGAGATATTTTATTTTTGTATGGGAGTGTAGGGAAATAACTTTAATGTTAAAACTGGGGGAAATGAAGGTGTAAAAAAGGCAGTTACGCCCCTTTTCCCAAAGTTTCTAAATTTTCAAAAAAGCTGTATCTCATTCACTGTCTTAGAAAAATCAGTTAAATACAACATTTGTTCACCTCCGGAGCCTGACTTTAATACCTTGTTTAGCGTACTTATTTGTTTTAAGATCGTCCAGAGGAGTGCGAAAAACCCCAGTGTTTTCTTATTTAGCAAAATGACTTTGCCAAAAGCATCCAAGCGGAGGAGTAAATAAATTCATGAATGTTAAGAGTAGTAATGAGATTGATAAATGCTTTAAATTTATATAATTAAGGAATTAATATATATATAATATATATATATAATATATATATATATAATATATATATATATAATATATATATATTCTTATTTTTGGAGATTTTATGGGAGCGGACGGCGTAATAAAAATAGATTAATAATGTTATCCTTTTTCTTCTGATATTTCCATTTTTCGTGGTGGAGGGTGCTAACTGGCCAAAATTTTATTTTTATTTTAAATCACCATTGCCTTTTAAAGTTATATACTATTTTTCTGTATTTGATTTGCAATTTTCTGTAAAATTTCTCCGTTTTTAAAGTTTTTAAATAATATATTCGATAATCAAATGATAGTATGATTGATGTTGACAAATTTAGGATATCTATGTAATACTAAGTACGGTACTGTAATTACAAATATTTTTGATAATTTTATTTACTGTAAAATAATAATTAGGCATTATTTACCGCCACACACCGCATGCCTACTCCAAAATCGCAGATTATGAGACCACACCCATCTGAGCTCCACCTTGGTTGGGGCCGAGGTGGAAAACTTTAAGATACGGCATCACTAGATGCCCTGAAATCGCACTCTTATACTTTAAATATGCTTTTCAACGGGTCACAATCTATCTACAGTATCACTAATTGGGACATGCGATGTTGGCATGTTCGACTATTGGTTCCTTTTGTTGAAAATGATATTACGCTGAGTATTATTTTCATTCGGCTGGTTCAGAAAATAGACTTGTTGACAACGGAACTTAAGTTAAACCAGAGTGCCTTAAAATGCGTTAATTTGCAATAAGTTATTTCAACGTGACTAAAATATACATGGCGGATACAATTTATATTTCATAAAATAATAATCTTTCTTTTTCTTTTCTTTACTCTATCTTTTATTTTGTCGATACAAGGGTGGGGGCGGGCGCAAAGTGCACCCTTCCCCTAAATCCGCCCCTGATGATTAAACCATGTACTTCAAACAATAAGAAAGTAAAACTTACATGTCAACAAGTGTCGTCTACACAAAAAGTGTACTGTACCTTATTAAAAGTGTAAGTCTACTCAACGAGTGTCGTCAATGGAGATGTGTGGACACATATTGGATACGGTAGTTACTGTAGTCTCTGTGAGCATGGTGGCCTGAGAGCACATACCGGCTGATCTTGATAGACAGTAATCAATTGCACAAAAGTTTTCATGCTAGTGCGTCTGCACGTAAACGTCGTAGCTAACCATTGCGCGACAAGATGTACACACACACACAATCAATCAATCAATCAATCAATCAATCAATCAATCAATCAATCAATCTTTCTTTTGGAATTGAGTATCCGTATAACAATTATATAAAACAAAAATTAGTAGAAAGATATACTGCAGATATGATAGCTACAAGAGCATTTTTTCTTTTAATACAATTTTTTTTGATAGGCCTATACAGTAAGGGGTGAGGGCGCGTCGCATGCGCCCCCTAAATCCGCCCCTGTATGCATTAACGCAACGTGTTTATATCAACAAGATTTGTTCTTGTTGGTCATTCACTGGCGTTAAAATTTCTGTCGATGAATGTCGGTAAATGACGTGTCCGCCACGAACGTTCGTTTGGCCAACAGTCTGTGGGCGAAACGTCACACAAAATGCAGGAGAAATTTTCAGACCAAGTGAAGTTGCTATTCTTTTTTAAAGTTGTATCTATCAGCCTCGCCTTTGCAACGGCGAAAGGTGCAAACGTTAAAATCCACCCCTGGGACCCAAATTGATGTGAGTACTTAATACTATTGACTTAAAGGTTTTTGCTTCAGCGTAGAACTATATTAGGCCTAATAATCCATGAAGTTATAATTAATAATTTATGGTATAATTTATTGAACACAAAAAACAGTGAAGTACAAAAATATTGTCATAACGGTAAGCTTAACCTTGGCTAAATTTCTCACAATTTACATGCAATAACATAAATAAACACAATTCAATGCATTCAAGAAAATCCCCACCTCCATTCTTTTAAATGGGGCATTCAGCGGGCGTTTTTTCATTTTGCTCACTCTGGAGAAAACACTGATCTTTTCACAAAATTTGTTGAACGTCGTTGTGATCTGTGTTGTCAAGCAGGCCCAGGCACCAAGGAAATATTTTGATCCACAGTACTTTAGTAACCTTAGTGTTCGATTTATACGTTTCTCATTCGATATATATATAATATCGATGATAAACATGATGGTATGATTCATGTTAAGGATAACAGATGCAAATTCTGAGTCTTTGTGGCTGCCACTTATACTTAAAAATCGGGGGTTTTGCGACTTGGAAAAGTATCATTTAATTAAAACTAATAAAAAAGTAAAACAGTGGTGCCGCCAGGATTTGGATTTGTTTGTTAACGGAGGAGCGTAATATGTCTGCTTTAGCCTTGAGTTACATAGGCCTATTCTTTAATTTAAACATAGTTATTGTGGTTTTTCTGCAATTCGACATTTCCTACGTGAACTTGTGAACCGTTGTCGATTAAGATGGAGAGAGCGTCTATAGTAGATAGAAATGAACATCATTGCACCAGTCTATAGCTAGTAGTACTGGGCTGCCAATTAATAAACTATAATAACATTGAAATTAAAACACTTGTCGGGGCGTATGTCCCTGTTGAGGTCACTTGAGTTATAATGTGTACCATACCTCTTCTGCCAATTCAATTGTTATCCTTTCAATCTGTAATTTTAGTGTAATGGGTATGTTGAACAGGGTTAAACAACCGAAAACGAAGAGAAATAGTAAAATACAGTTGATTTCATTAATAGTTTCGATTCTTTCTTTTAAGTCCTTCCAAATCTCAAGTGACATACAAAGTTTAGATGCATCAATTATAATCTATTATAAGTTAAACATTCCATAAAAAACTATTAAAATTTATTTATGATTGGATCAAATACTTAACAGAATCAATGGAAAGCATTTTTGAAATTTAAGATGAATAGAGTACATAATTGACCAACTGATTATTTCAACCAAAATTGTATAAAAGAAAGTGTTTCTTGTAGACCACGGACTTTACAGCGAAGATGACAGCGACGAATGTTAAAAAGTGTTTGATAATACATCTGTTGGTGAAACTAATAATGACATCTCTCACACTTACGTTGTTTTTACCTACGAGTTTCAAGGAGTTAAACGAGTTGGTGAAAGCGGTTTGGCGCAGCGGGAACGGTTTGATTTCCCAACATCGAAGTCGGGGTTTCAATCCCTCGCTGTGCATTTCACTTGTGTCTTTGAGCAAGGTACGGTACCTTATCTGCCTTGTTTTTTTCTCTACCCAAAAGCATAAATGGGTACCTGGTGGGGTTGCCTGCTTCTGCGCTGATTACCAGCAGCAACACTTAAATCATGTGGGCCCAATGATCAGGGAAATGAACTGCGCTTTATAACTGCGCATTATAAATGCCTATACCATTACCAGTTAGCAACTTGGTAAGTTCTAAAAGAGCTCGTAACGCAACTCGTAGAGTACCCGTAGTTAGCCTGTTGAAAGCAGCTCTAAATTTCCCATTGTCACCTGGCCTTTTGCCAACGGCCTTCTGCCACCCGTCCTTTTGCCACCCGACTCTTTGCCACTCTAGGCCCGTTGCCAACCTAGGTATGTTACCAGCCATGCCCATTGCCATCCGGCATTTTGCCACCCGAGTTTTTGCCACCCGAACTGTTGGTACCCGGCCCTTTCCCACCCGTTGCCATCCAATATTACCATTTAATAGAATGAGGATTGAAGAAATCACTAGTATTCACAATAATTTTATTTCATTTCATTCTGGCTCATTCAAAGTCTGGTTTGTTTGTCAGTAAAACACTGAATCTCATCACAATTACAATATAATAATGCCTACATTCAGAATTTCAAAATAATTTTTTCACGCTCGCAGATTGCTCTTCTTTAACGTTCACATTTTTCTATACAGCATAATAATAAGTGGGATTTGTAAAGCCCATAATTCAAACGTCTCTATGCAATGAGTGATTTGCAAATAAAGTTAAGAATTAAAGTTAATTTAAAAGATGAGTCGTAAGCCGATTCTTAAAGATATCAAGAGACTATATATTTTATAGCATTACCGCTAGACGGGATGGTTTTCAGTTCAAAATTTCAAATTCAATTTCTGTTTTATTTCCACACAAGTTACATTGAACGTGAATGTACATCAATATAAGGTTTCATTTAAGTACAGTTTAGTGGAGGGTTGGGGAGGGGGTGAGTTAGATAAGCCAATTAAGGGTTTCAGATCGACCCACCCCTAACACTGTCTCTTATACACATCTAGATGTGTATAAGAGACAGACTAACACTTTACTAACAGTGGCGTAACGCCTGTGTCTTTTTCTGGGGGCCAGTCTCAGTCTGGTCTCCAGTCAGAGGGGCATCGGGAACTCCTCTTACTAAATACTGAGCTCAGCACTACTACAACACCTTGACAATGTGGTAATTTTTCTATAATTTTTTTAAAAAGTAAGAGCGGCCCGGGGCTAATGAAATGCATACATCAAGGCACTGTATCATATCAATCTAAAAAAAATCTGGAATGAATTACCTACAAGTATCACCCACTCACCGTCAATTTGTTCTTTCAAAAAGAGTTACAAATCTCACTTCTTCCCCTTAAATTGATTATTGGTTTTATTTAATTTCCGTAATAAAGTTTGTTTGCCTTTGAAAAGCCGCACCCTCTTACTTGAGGTGGCGCCGCCAACTTAGCAGTGCACGGTAGAGGAGCCACAGGCTTATCCTCGGTGGAAGCGAAAGGGGGAAGGAAAAGGTAACGGGAATGATTTGGTGGATCATCTTTGTCTGACTCTGGGTGTTTTGTGTGGGTGTGTGTGTGTGTTTTCCCCCAGGACCACAATGAAAAAGATTTTTTTTAAAAATTGATTGTGTAATCCAGGTTAAAGATAAATAAATAAAATATCGAACATGAAAACAAACAATAATTACATCTGTGTCGTTCACTTTAAGAAAAGTAGTAAAATATCATTGATGGTTCTCTCCAGTCATACGGTGTGGCTATCGGCATTGCGGTAGTGCCGTTTTCGCACTGCAGCAGTGAGAAAAAGCTGCTGTTTTCTATTGTTTTTGAGTAGTGTAATAATAATAATTAATAACGATAAAGACTAAACGAACATAGATTGTTTTTTTATTCTTGATTTCGACAACAATACCTATTAACTTAAAATTTAGGTTGCATTTGCTTTGGGAAAATCCATTTCCAACCAAAGAAGATAATAACATTGGAAATGATTATGATATTCATCATGATCATCATGATCATGATCATGATCATCAACATCATCATGATCATGATCATCATCACCATCACCATTATCACCATTATCATCATCATCATCATCTGCATTGTCATCGCCATCTATAGCATGATTTTTTTTATTCTAATAGCAGTATTTTTGTAGTAATATCACCTTTACTAATTAAAGAATATAAATATACCATAGACATAAGCAGGTTTTTCATTTTAGTTGAAAATATTTCGTTACTTATATTGCTGCTTGATTTGTTAGGTTTGGGGTTTTCTTCATGCTAATTAATTCATAAATATTTTAAAGCAACAACTTGTTGCGTTCTAAATTATAATTATTATGAATGGTTGACAATGATTCGCCCTTTCTGCTAAGTATCCCTCCGCGATCAGGCCGTCTTTCTGCGAGGATTATTTAAACGGAATTGATTGTTAGAAGTGGTCACTTTCCTTGCGACTGCCGGTGACGTGATACTATCAAAGGGCGTGGAGCTGAACTTTGTCCAGTAAAGATGGAATCACGAAAAGTATTCGTACTGTTTATCATTATTTTTAGCCTTCACCTTACCAATGCTAATGGAAAGTTCAAAAAGTATAATAAGATGTTTAAAAAGTTTGAGGCCAAATCTGCTAAAAGCAGTCAACCCAACATTCTTTTTATCCTGTCAGATGATCATGGTTACAGAGACGTCGGCTATCATGGATCTTTGTTCGATACTCCAGTACTTGATGAAATGGCCGCTAAAGGGGTCAAGTTGGAGAATTACTACGTTCAACCAATCTGCTCACCAACTAGATCCCAGCTACTGACCGGTCGATACCAGGTAAGTAACAGTTCACAATTTGTAATATAATACAAATCCGCAACACAGAGCAATGACTATTGTGAAAAGTGATTAGAAGAGAGACACTTCAATTAGTAAACCTTCAATCGCTGATTCGTCAAATCCTAATAGGCCTGTTATTTTTGTTTGACTTTTTTGTGACCGCTGTGTAATCTAACTGTGCATTCAAAAGTAAAAAGAATAACGCTTTATAAATAATTACAGAACTTAAATAAAACAAAAGTGACTCCAAATACTGAAAGTGATGCATTGTTAACTCAACTTTTCGGCTTTATTATGTCATCATCAGCTATAACATATTTACAAATAGAGAATGTCAACAATGTTTCAGTATACAAATATATTTAATGAAAGAACCATAGGATAAAAGCAGCAACTGTAATCGGTCCAGGAACACACAGGGTGTAGTCGAAATAAATAATACAAATATAATTTACTACCTTATACTAATTATTAAGCTTTAAGAATTAATTATTAAAAAAATGTTTTAAAGATTTATTATTATTATCATTATTATTATTATCAATGGCATTTGTATTTTCACTTTTATATCCATCATTCAGATACATACAGGACTGCAACATGCTGTTCTTCAACCAACGGCACCAGCTTGCCTACCCACTGATGAGATCACATTAGCTCAGAAGATGAAAGAAGCTGGTTACGCAACACATATGATTGGTAAATGGCATATGGGATTTTATGAAGAGGCGTGTCTTCCCAACAACAGAGGATTCGATACCTACTTAGGTATGTACAGTATTAAAACTATGTACAAAGTCATCAATCAATGAATCAATCAATCAGTTCAATCAATCGGTCAGTTTATTGATAGACGGAACACCCAATCGATTGTACGACTGATTGATTAATACTGAGTAACATAGTACCCGATTGATTGTTTTATCAATCAATCAATCAATCAATCGATAAGTCATGTAAAATGATACAATACAAATAAAGTTTAAATACTTTATTATTCAGGTCTACTACTGGGTGGAGGCTATCATTTTACCCATTCTTTCCCGACACCTCAGTACTACGACTTCCATAAGGACTGCTCAGCTGCAAAGGAGTATAATGGCACTTACTCTACTTACGCAATGACTGATAGAGCAATCGACATCATAAACAACCAAGATGGAGACAAAGTAAGTTTACGGTATCCAGCGAAAATATTACGTAACACTGAGTTACACATATATTATTCTAATACTCTTAAATTCTCCAATGTTCATCTTTCCACAATATTTCATCATACAAAACATAATACAGAGTTGGTATAATATAAATTATTGAAAACGTTACCCATTGGAAAAATGGATAATGAAGCTATAACGTCCTAAACGATAATTATTAATATAATACAATACTAAAATAGACAGAGAATTTCTAGCACATAATATGACATACAGTATTTATTGATTTTTTTTTATCAAGTATTCATATCTACAGTAATGTTCTATCGTTTATGAGATTAAACTTTATTCAGTTTGTACAATCACCTATGTCTTCTGTTATTGGACATTTAGAAAATCTGCTTGGTGGTGAGTTTGCTGCTGTTGATTATGCCGAACTTCATAGTTGGCATTTCAAAGCTGTAGCAACTCGCATTACTCGATTTTGTGAGTTGTCCAATTTTTAAGCAATTATATGGGAAAACAGAATTATTAAGAATAATTATTCCGGATAATATTTACTAGCCTTTCTTCATGTACTTGGCCTACCAAGCACCTCACGCTCCTCTTGAAGTACCTGAGCAATACAAGGACCCCTACCGTAGTACATTCAAAGACGATGACAACAGACTTACCTACGCTGGTATGGTATCATGTCTGGATGAGGGTGTTGGGAATGTGACAGCTGCATTGAAAGCCAAGGGATTATATGACAACACTGTCATAATCTTCTCTAGTGGTGTGTATTTTTTAGTAATACATTATTATACATGACAGGAAGTTTCTTCAGTATAATACTAAGAGTATTGAGTTATCCTTTTATGTACATTGAACAATTTTGTTTATATAGAACCAATACGCTTTCAGGGCCAAAATAATTAAATTAGACAAGCTCTACAAACATTATGAAAACAAAAAAGAAGACCAAGCGTCATCTTGTTTTGATTTTATATTGCTCTGCTTATGTATCGAGCACTGTTGTCTAGATGATCTGCTTCCAACCTACCCTGCACAGTATATATATATATATATATATATATATATATTATATATATATGTATATATAATATATATTTAAGTCAAGCTTAGACCATTTTAATATCTTCGAAATTTCTCTTATAGTTAATAACACCGCTTTAAATCTACTTGACCGCATTGACGATTGATTAATTGAGAAATAAAGATTCAAGATTGATTGATTAACCTTTATTCATTAGATAATGGTGGTAGTATACAAGACGGTGGTAACAATTGGCCATTGCGTGGATGTAAGTTGTCCATGTTCGAGGGTGGTATGCGAGCTATCGGATTCGTTCATAGTCCTCTCCTTTCTGACAATGTCAAGGGAACTGTGAGCAATGAGCTGTATCACGTAAGTGATTGGTTTCCGACATTCGTCGAAGGTATCGCTGGATGGAACACAGACGGAACTAAACCACTAGATGGCTTCAACCAATGGGAATCTATAAGGTATGAGCAATTGCAATGTTTCTGTTTGATTAGGTTGCAGTGAAGCTATAAGTTGAAGGTGAAACACTCCATCATGAATTAGACTAATATCATACGGTGGTAAAGAGTTTTTGTTTAAAAACACTGTAAAATTCGAAGCCAATTATGTCGAAGCCAATTATTAAGGCCAACTCAGACAGCGTCGGCCGACGCAGCCCGACCCGATTTATCGTCGGGGACAGTCTTAAGCCGTCGTGAGAAATATTAAACATGTTTAATATTCTACGACGTGACTGCCCCCAACGCACACCATCGCGTCTGCGTTTAACTCACACAGACCCGACGCGACAACAAATCGCGTCGGGCTGCGTCGTTACGACGCTGTCTGAGTTGGCCTTTAGGCCTATGATATGCGAATATATGACCATGATGATATCAACACTGTAGTAAATAGCGTAGCATAGCTTCACAGGGGTGGCGCCAGAATTTGCCCGACGGTGGTGGGGGGGGGGGAGGTCCTCGACGAGGGGTCAGATTGTGGGCGTGGTGGTCGAGCTTCGATTAAAAGGTTCCGAAAGTGGTCCAGGTGGCGAAGCCCCCGGAAATTATGACAATTTAGGGGTTTCAAAGGCTTGTTTAATCGATTTGTCTACTAATATGTAGAAAATAATGTCTGGGAGAAAAAAAAATGTTTTCTCCCCGACGAATTGTGCTTTTTCTCCCCGACGCCACCCCTGTAGCATCGAATTAGGCGCTACCATTGATTTTTAAATTGAAAATTTTTAAATCTTCGTTACGCCATTGAATATATTCTGGTTTGTTTGATTAGGGACGGAACTCCTTCTTCCCGAATTGAGCTCTTGCACAACATTGACCCTTTATGGGTTGTACCTGGCGGCCGAGATTGTGTTCGTGAATTGAGTCCTTTCAACATTAGCATTAATGCTGCGTTAAGGCATGGGGACTGGAAAATTGTCACTGGTGACAATGGTAAGTGTTTTACTTTCAATGTCACACTTTAGTCTTCATCTTTACCTTCCATATAATAACGCGTTAATGATGCTTTGATACAAATAAATACGCACTGAGTTTCCTTTTAGCCTTAAGGTCTGATGCGCTGTGAAGACATTCTTCTCTTTCTTCATTGATTTGCATCTGCTTGTTACACGTTTGACAGTATTTATATTAGTTTGATTTAGTTAGTTGTAAGATTTAAAAAGGGCCTGGGTGGCAAAATCCCTGGAGATTACCCCTCGGCGTGTAACGGGGTAGCAAAACAGAAAAAAAAATGAATTTAACAGGTTTTTTTATTGACAGTATTGGATAATATTTTTCTTTTTTTTCTTTGTAAAAAAATAAGTAAATATAGGATATAAAATATATGCTTGCGGCTGTTTTATTGACAGTATAAATAAAAAAATAAATTCAGCAATGATATCAGTCATTTTAATTGTATTATATTGTTGAGACATTTTTCAGAACAGTTCTTTTCAGAACTACGTGGTGTACCGCAAGCATTTATTATAAATTTACTTCGCCATGCAAACTCTCAAACAAATATATTATACAGATGAGGAAAACTACTGCACATGTATTTTCAAAATAGCGTATAATATTAGATAAAAACTATTATACTCAGATGTTTTAGGATCAACATATTTATAATTGTTCTATATATATATATTTTTTTAATTGTAAACAACTTGTAAGTGGCAGTTTTGTTCGCTGTTGGTTTTTAAAATAGAAATTATATAGGCAAATTAATCTAAACTATAAACGAAAACATAAAAGATACGGTAAGTATAAATTACAACGTATTCAGAACACATCAAATATTGAGAAACATTATTATCTTAACAAGACACATTATAGATAGATAACACTTCTTAAACATTCACATTTCAGGGAAAACAGGATGGTATGCACCCCCTGATACTGGCATCTGTACGATCAGTGGACCAACAACTGATCAAATCACCTGGTTATTCAATATTAAGGAGGATCCACTAGAAAAGAATGACCTCTCTGATGAGCGCCCTGATATTCTCTTTTTCTTGTTAGAGAAACTTCAAAAATACTATCTTGATTCAGTACCTGTATTTTATCCAGATACTCAGGTGGCACAAGCTGACCCTTGTACGAACGGAAATGATTGTGTCTGGGGACCATGGACTCCAATCTAAGCACGCAATACTTACATAAAATTGATCGTTTTGAACGCAATGTTTGTGCGATTAATTAACACATTCTATTTTACAAAATGCTTTTCATTGTTACTTTTGGTGAAGGTTAGTTTTGTTGATGATGTAGTAGTCCGTATTTGATTTTTTTTAGTTAATTGTACTTTTAGGATAGGCTTTGAGTTACAGACGCACTTTTGCTATTCAGAGTATGCCGCTGTTTTAAAAGCCTAGTCCAAAAGAGATTATTAACATGCATGTCATTATTATCATCATTGTACATTAGACAATTAAAGTGACTGTTGTCATTACGCAAAAAGTTCAATTATCTTTAATTTTTACTGGTAGATGAAATATAAACTAAAACTAAAATATTGAATAATACATTTGCATGTGAAATCAATTATTAATAGATTTGACGATCGTGTGCGGCGTACACCAAGGCAGATTAGCCTACGTTACAGTAGTAATGCATCAGTATGATTAAGACTGAAAGAGATAATTGAAGTAAGATCTTATATTCTAGTATATTTTTTGGTAAGATAAATATGACACCATGAAGGAGTCGAAACGTCGATCTTTTCTTTTTAGCGTTATTTTTATGTTAAATAAGATAAATATGCTTCATTAAATGATTAGTATACATAAATCAATAAATAAGTCATAAAATGATTAATATACACAATAAATGTCATAAAGACGAGTTTAACAATGTATCAAAATGAATCAAAGTATAAAATATGTTACATAGAATACAATTACAAAGGCATACAGTATATAATCTAAATTCAGATTTTGAATACTGAAGGAAATATCATGATGGTGGTGTTGGACTTACAATGATGATTGCAACCACTACCCGCTACCATGTCTATTTCTATATATTATGTATAAAAACAGTATAATCAGGGAAGACTAGACGTCACCAAACAGTTTCTGGTTTGTTTGTCTGTATGAAGGAAGGACAGCACTGAAGTTTGTTGACGATTATGGCAGTATTGCCATCGTCTCTATGACGACAGATGGGTCCAGGATTTGGATGACGTGTCTTCAGATTTGAGAAAGCATAATAGTTATAGATACATGCCGAATAATACGGGTAATAACTTACAGAACAGGAAAATGTCTTCTTCTGACGCTGATCGACTTCAGAATATCTGGTTATATACCCACAATTCAATTCAATTCAATATAAATTTATTGCAAAACAGATATGAGTTTTGAAATGTACAATAAGATAAGAAGACACATAAAAGAACGTCAATAATAAAAAACAGTAAAATCTTAGAAAAGCGACATTCTCACAAGGGAGAAAAATAAAAAATAAAAATCGCATAGTTAAAATTACATTACAAATTACACATACATACATATATATACACACAAAAATGTCACCGACATTTCTTTGCATATTTCTCCTGAAGACGATTGAAGCAATCTATTCGAAACTTCGAGATATACTTAACACATCAGTTCCAAGAGAAGTACAGGTATTTACGTAAGGTATCGAACCCTGGCGTGCAAGAGGCAGGAACCATACCAAAGCCAAACGATATTATTATACTATGACACTTTTATATACTCAATACTCAATAGATTTATTTTGTCATATATACATGTACAATACACATACAATGAAATTTGGTCTGGTTCCCTAACAAAAAAACAAACATAAAATACGGAAATTCAAACTACTGAAGTGATTTGTTGAATGCCCTAATGGCGGAGGAATAGAAACTACGTAGAGATCTATCCCTCCCGGTCATTAGTGATAAAATTCATTATCACATCACCATTATATAGTCAAAATGTAGGCCAACAAATTTCTAATGTTTACCAGCCATTTTCGGCAATAGGAGATGTAATTACTATGCGTGATGCATCATAAAAAGTGAAACTTAAAAACATTGTCCTTAATGTATACTTACAGGCCTACCTACTTCAAAGACGTGAGTCCACCTTAGTTGGGGATGATTTGGGAAAATAGTACCTCTCGATTGCTGGAAATAACACTCATATTATAATTCTTCTTCATCGATGTAATTCTGTTATCATTAGCAGCGCCAGGATTTCCCTGACGGTGGTGGTGGGGGTTGTGCTGATGTCCCCGACGAGAAAATAAGTAACTTTCGAAAGTGGTCCAGGTGGCGTAGCTTCCCAAAAATAAAACAGTCACAATTTAGGGGTTTCAAAGGTATATTTAATCGTTTTTAGAATCTATTAATATGTAAAAAATACATAAGCCTATAATTTTATAATTTTCTTTTCTTCCTAACGAATTGTGGTTTACTTCCCCAACGGGGAGCCCCTCCCCCTCCCCGTAGCGCCGCCAATGCCTACTTCATGTGCCGAAAACCAATCCTATTACTATTATTAACTATCATTATTAAACGCTTTTTCTCATACTTATATTATAATAATGGTACGCGCACTCGAGTCGTATTATACGTACAGGTAATTCAAATGTTTGTGGGCAGAGATACCGGTTGTACAATGCTATTTCTTTAAAACCTGGGTCATTTAGGCAGTCCAAATCAACAATTTTCAGGCATCTTTTTGACTTACGAAATTACATTGCGGAGGGAAAATGAGGGAACCACCCCCTCCTAAAAATATGTGGTGTGCGCCCATGTGGTAGGGTCGTCCCCTTCCATTTGAGATTTTTTTTTGAATTAGTAGACTGCTAGACGCGCTTAGATGACATCTGAAAAGTAGTTAGGCTTAAAATAGAAAGTGTATGCTTTACCAGGGTAACCTACTAAGTAACATGTATACATGAGAAGCCCACACACAAGCCGAAGGGTGTGGCTAGCCTCTCTATTCACCCTCAAGATCCGCCACTGCACACTCGCCCCATCCATTGAGGGAGGCCTTATATATATTGCACAAAATAAACATAATTAGCAAAGACAATTAAAAAACATGAAACCAAACACAATTAAAAGAGTAAACGTCATAATTTAAAATGCATAGAAGACAAATTATAATTAATTTATGGGCCAATATCCTGTGATCCATCATGTTTTTAAAAAACAATGATTTCACATTATTTATTCACGCCCTGCTTTGAACAAACACTCAACCCCCCACCCCACCACTAAAAAACGGTTATTAGGAATAAACGCCTCGGGGCGTTTAATTTTTCTTCGAATCATTTTGAACATTGAATTAATTATCAATGTTTTACCCTAGTGGAAATAAATTAACTGCTAATTAGGGATTTATAATCCATGCAAAAACATTAATCATAGTAGACTACATTTACCAGTAAACGCGGCTCCTCAAAAACCATCTGAACAACAACGCCTGTTGGTGCATATAAAAACAAAGGTATGATTAGCAATCAAATTATAACAAATCAATGCATTTAGCGTATGGTGAAATGATGGAGAAGATGACGGAGCTATGTGTGGCACATTTTTATAATAATAGGCCTAGTTCACAAGTTGTGGTTATGGTAATCCTCAAAAGTAAAGAATAACCCCATAATCTTTTAATATTCAATTCATTTATTATTTATTTATTAATCTATCATATTAAGTCTAAGAACAATAACGTCAATTATTACCAAACGTGATTAAACATGCAGGTGGGTACGATTCGGCTATTCTAATTCAACCCTCCTCTTCGTCTGTCACCCACTCCTATTCCTGTTGGTTTCGAGGTTGGCGAGGCCTCGTCGCGACTCCTATTAGACTCAGCCATGGATGATCGGGATCGGACCGGATTGAAGTCACTTTTTGATTTAAAGAAATGGTTTGATTAGTATTACTCGATGAGAAGGTCATATAAACATCATAATTTATATTAAAATATTGTCATTGTCACTTTTACGGATTTGTAGCGTGTTTTAAGGTGCCTCGCACTTTTAGTACAATACTGCAGCTATACTTCGTCGTCCTGCCCCGCATGAATTGAAGTTGAAGTGGTCACCAGGGAAGATGGCTTCCATGAATCACATGCCTCGCAGTTTGTCAATAGTCTGTTGGAAGTACTTCATTGCTACATTCTACTAATAAAAATTTAAAAAATCCCCCTGTTCATGAAACAGCGCTATGTATAAGTGCTGTAAACTAACCTACACATATAATTTATCACACGTTAATGAGTTGTCTGTTGCACAGGGATGCCGCCAGGATTTTTCCGATGAGGGGCTGGTGTCCCCGACTTGGAAAGGGGTGGCCGATGTTCCCGACGAGAGAAAAGTGAGCGTGTTCAAGTGTCGCTCAAAATCTCTCGAAAGTGTTCCAGGGTCAAAGCCCCAACAAATTAGGGGTTTCAAATGCTTATTTAATCGATTTTAGAGTCTACTAATATGTAGAAAATACATATACATTTTTTTTCCTCCCCGACGAATTGCCGTTTATCTCCCCGACGGGGGTCCCGGCCACCCACCCCCTGGTGCCACCTCTGTGTTGCAACGAAAAAATACTAGACAAAGAATAAAATATGCACTAATCTAGTACCCAATTAAATCATTATCATTGATCCCATCGTTCTAAACTAGATCAGTCGCTAAAGAGCATACCTCCCTCCAGCAATTATGAATATAGAATATGAAAAAATGTTGACTTTCACCTTTGGCATTTTACCCTTTTATATTGATTCATTCAATAGTATGTCAGCAGAAAGTCTTAGGTGGACTGACAGTTGGCAAAAAGTTTTTCCATCGCAACGCACTTGCGAATTAATTTGGGGAGAAAATCTGCAATTACCTTTTAAATTTTGTTTATCCATTATCCAACCCTTGCCACGGCCACCAATTTAAACGTCTGAACCACGTACCTGGGAATCAAAACGATGTGTATAATTGATGTTTTGACAAGTGGTTTGCTTCACTAATCATTTGAAACAGCAGAACAATATTAGGTCTAATAAACCATGAAGTTATAAATATTCGTTGATGGCATAAGACAAGTACAAAAATATTGTCATTTATCTATAACCTTGGTTAAATCATTGTTCACTATGTAAGGTAAAGGTAAAGGTAGGAGAATAACCCATAACTTGCAGCGTCATTGTGCTGAATTGCGTATGGGTGTGGTCCGTGACTACCTAGCTGCCGTAAAGGCGCTACTTGGTAGATACATGTTCACATCATTCCACAACGACAGGGGCTGAAATGAACCATAATATCGGGGTAAACCCCTACTCTTCCGAAAGATGCAATGGGTTCTTTAAAGTGCACACGAGCCAGATGTATACACTGGACCTCCATTTTAAGTCCTTATCCGAGAAGACTTGTTTCTACCAACAGAACCATGGGCGAGGAGCGGCTGGAACTAGCGCTGATGTTAAGGCTGTAGCTAGCGGCGCCCCTGTCTTACCGTTTGGCCACTCGACTCGCCTCAATTTACATGCTATAACATAAATAAACACATCTGAATGCATTCAAGAAAAACCCCACCTCTTATTCTAGTAAAGTGAGGCATTATGGAGGCACTGATTAATTTTGCTCACTTTTGAGAAAACGTTAATTCTTTTCTCTTTGTATTTTGTGTGGTCACTACTACGAAATATTTGTTTTTGGATCTTCATCATCTTAATCGTAGGATGAATGCACTCTTATGACTTATATGTTATACTACACTTTCGAGGTCTGAGTGGGAACTTTTCTCATTCGCCCTATGTTTATAGTATATAGATAATGATATCCATAGACAAATGATTCTGATAATCACAATGTAATAAAATATTGGGGGATTCCCTTAATCATTAATCTCTAACCTTGGTTAAATTGCTCACTATTTACATGCAATAAAATATTATTATATGGAATAGATAATAATATCGATGGACAAATGATTCTGACTATCACAACATACTAAAATACTGGGGGTTTTGCGACTTAAATTAATCAAATGAACAGCAAAAACAGTAGTTCTGCCAGAATGTTCGATGTTATATACAGTAGTTAACATCTTTTAGATTTTAGTTTTTAGTAGTATAGTTAATGTGGCTTTCTGAAATTCGTTGTATAATGGCCAAAGACTGTGAAGCGTACGTCAGGGATAATGCCTTGTTTATTGGACCACAGTACTCTTTAAAGTAAAACTTTGTCATAGGAGGAGTGAGGTAGGGAATGTCCACGTTGAGGATACTGACTTTATAAAGTGTATCACTTTAATCCATTTTTTGTTGTTCGATCGACCATTTTTAAAATTTAAGTGTTGGTTCGAAACATGCAGATAGATTAGCTAACTACTTTAGGACTGGTTTAGCTGGACATGAAACTTGTCTGCCATTACTACCTTGCTATATATTTCTTAATGCGTGGTTTTCAATAATGAAGTATTTCAGTACCAATAATTTGCCAACTTATTTGCTGAAAAGAAGTCGATTTACACTACTACGTCTTCGTAGAACATAATGTATACTCCTTCACTAAATTAACATTTAAGAACACATGTTACTTCACCCATCCACTGGACCATTATTTACTATTAATCACTAAACACAAATACAAATAGGCCTAACTGCAGAATTATTTTATAATTTTCATTAGGCTATCATATTCGGTTTTAGCAGACTACCTGAATAACTAAACAAACAAACAGACACATTGTATTAATATTTAAAAAAAAATTTAAAATTAATTGTAAGTGTTGTCAACGTATTTTATTGGTAATGCCCTAAAACTTACAAGTGTAAATTTCGGTAGCTATAAGCGTGTTATCTATTGTATAACATGTTCTATTTCGTTTATGCTATGGTTGCTTATAGTTTGTTGGTTTTATTTATTATGTTAAGTGCTTTATGAAATATTGCAAAAGCATCTAAACATATTTTTGTATAATAATTCAAATACCTATTGTTGCATAAATTGTTGTTATTACAAGTGATTGACAATGCTACACTATTTCTGACTGAATACCCCTACACCCGCGAATAAGGCCGCCATTCTGAAGTGTTGTTATTACGAATGATTGACAATGATACAATATTTCTGAGTGAATATCCCTCCGCGAATAAGGCCGCCTTTCTGGGAAGATCCTTTAAACGTATTGCAGTTGTTAGAAATGATCAATTTTCTCGAGATTGCAGGTGACGTATAACTGGATTTAGTCCTGTAAAGATGGCATTACGAATACTAGTTGTACTGTCCCTCATTGTTTTTAGTCTCCAACTTATTGACGCTAAAGAAATGAAATTTAAGAAGTTTCAGAAGTTTTTAAAGAAGTCTCAGAAGTTAAAGGAAAAAAGTGTTACAGGCAGTAAACCTAACATTCTGTTTATCCTGTCAGATGATCATGGCTACAGAGACATCGGCTATCATGGATCGTTGTTCAATACTACAGTGCTTGATCAAATGGCCGCTGGAGGGGTTAAGTTAGAGAACTACTACGTCCAACCAATCTGTACACCGACTAGATCCCAGCTACTTACCGGTCGATACCAGGTAAGAAACCCAGCAGTATTGATCAGGTCAATAAAATTGTATGGATATTCTTAGGCATACACTTACCTTCTACTCACCTTTTATGTATTATACCTATTTGCATGTATTGTAGTTTGGTTGATGTTTTTGAGTCACGGCAGTTCTAGAGGTTGAACAGAGATTATTACTCTAGCTGGTGGGTTTGATTTATTTGATTTACTTGCATCTCAAAAAACAGACAAACAGTTACTGCAATTGAAATATTAAAAAAACAGTAAAAAAGTAAATCTAAAAATGGACATCAAAAATTCAAGAGAAAGCTTAAACCGGCAGAAACAACGTGAGATGCACTAATATCCCATGAAAGTCCCGTTGTAGGTTATTTCCCGGAAAATGAGGTCCTATAGAGGGAAATAGACAACAAAAAGGAACAAGAGGACAAAACAAGCGAGCAGGTAACAATCAAAGAAAACAAAATCAGTTTACAGAAGAAGCTATTTACTTTGCAGTGCTATATTCCTAAAATGTTCCTTGACTTTAATCTTAAAGATAGCTAATGTCTGACAATTTATTTAAAAAAAAAATATTATAGGTTCCATTTCTTTATTGCAGTATATGTGAATGTATTACGAGCAACTGATTTAAATGTTGGCACCATACAATTTAGACCACTTGCCCTAGTACTATAATTATGACAGTCAGTGATACGATCAAATTTTGACTTGAGATAAGGTGGGCAGAAATCACGAAATATTCTATAAGCATGACAAACATGTAACAATTCTCCCCTATCAGAGACATTGATCATTCCCCCTCGGAAAATTGTGATTGTCCAAAGTGAGCCTGCGATTTTAAATTCTGTATAAAACGGACTGTTTTATTTAGAGTTAATTTGGAGTTTTTTTTGGTTAAAGTTTTGGCTGGCACTGGAAAAACAAGATGAAGCAGAATAGTCGAATAATGGTTGAATAAAAGCAAATGTATGAATTCTACGGCAATGTTAATTAAAAAAAAGGGAGATTGGCGAAAGAGAAATTTTAAGGGATAGCCTTTTGGCCACAGAGCTGGAAATAGTGTCACCGGACAGATTCCGATCGATCTCAATACCTAGATACAGATTTATATGCCTTGATGGTATGCCCAGAGTACTCAATCTTATAATTGTCAACGTTTTTTAGTCTACGTTTTTCGTCGATTGTGACCTTGAACCTGACCCTTCAAAATGTAATCACCTCCAGATCTGTGGTCAAGGAACATTGTGTCCAAGTTTAACGAGTTTCCGATAAAAACTACGGACTGTTGGCTGTTCACGGACACACACCCACACAGACAGATAGCTAAACAAACAAACAAACAAACAAACAAACAAACAAACAGGGGCGAAAACATTATCTCCTCCAACTTCGTTGGCGGAGGTAATGAGTGATTGGTACCCTTAGTACACATGTTCTATCCTTTAAAAAAAACCTAGGATGTATTTGATCCAACTCTACCTCATTAGAAGGATTATTTTTTTTTTTATTTCTGCCTCTATTGTATCTTGGTTAACTTCATTAAGACTATGGTAGTCATCTGAGAAGACGGTGCTGTCACAAAATCTGATTTTTAGATTTTCCTCATAATAATTCATCATAAAATACTAACGCAACATAACATTATTATTAACATAACATAATATAAGGCCAACAAAGTTATTTTGTTGTCTTAAATTGAAAAGATCGGGATAGTCGGTCAAAGTGTTTTAACCTCGAACGGTAGTCTACCCTAGACTATCTAATTCTAGGCCTTGGTACGTCGTTCAAACGGTGGCGACCAAGCAATAAAAAATGTTATACTTTCAGATCCATACAGGATTGCAACATGCTGTTCTTCAACCAACGGCACCAGCTTGCCTACCTACTGACGAGATCACAATAGCTCAGAAGATGAAAGAAGCTGGGTACTCAACACATCTGATTGGTAAATGGCATCTGGGTTTATATAATGACTCATGTCTACCCACCAACAGGGGATTCGATACCTACTTAGGTATGTATTAATATCAATCAATCAATCAATCAATCAACTAATTGATTAACTGATTGATTGGCTAATACCGATAGATTGATTTATTGATTGGATAATCATCTAAAATCGACACAATGTAAAGTTTAATTATTATTTAGGTCTGTAACTGGGCGGAGGCTATCATTTACCCATTCTTTTCCGAAACGATAAATCAACTTGTCAGTTTAGTGATAGACGGAATGTCCAATCGATTAAATAATTGGTTGATTGAGTAATACTGAGTAATATAGTAGTTGATTGATTGATTTATCAATCAATCAATCATCTAAAATGATACATTGCAAATAAAGTTTAAAATTTTTATTATTCAGGTCTACTACTGGGTGGAGGCTATCATTTTACCCATTCTTTCCCGACACCTCGGTACTACGACTTTCATGAGAACCTCTTAGCTGCAAAGGAGTATAACGGCACTTACTCTACTTACGCAATTACTGATAGAGCAATCGATATCATAAACAACCAAGATCGAGACAAAGTAAGTTAAAACATTAGATTAAATTCAATATGGTATTCCAGTCAAAAATATCAGGTAACATATACACCGATCCAATTACTGTCAATATTTTTCAAATTTATTTATTTATTTATTGACACTTCCCCTTTAGAACGGTGGCACACACAATTCTTGTGGTGCGGTCTAACAACAATAACAACTAGATACAAAAGTAACAACCTATAAAAAAACAAATCATACAAAGAAAAGCAAATTAACCAGGAATGCAAAAAAAAAAAAAAGGAAAGTCAAATGCAGACACCTTGGGTGGATTCCGGTGGGGATTCTCACGCTTCGTCTGCTAGGAAAATGTAAATATTGGAATTGTACGTACTTGGGTGGGGTGAGTGTGGAGAATGCATGGATAATGAAAGCTATAACCCCCAAAAGATACAGATTTATTAAATTATTGATATGATGCTCGACATAGAGATTTCTAGTACACAATAATTTCAATTCCCATCGCTGCTCTGCTTGTTTTATGGCTCATGTGCACGTTAAAGAATGCAGTAGTACTACAGAAGAGTACTTCGGAAAAGAGTAGGGGATTGCCTCCCAATCTACTGGCCCAGTCACCACCAGAAGGACCCCGCAAGAAATGAGTCTTCTTCAGAGTTTCGTGGGTTATCCTTGGTGTTTACACCGAATCAATCCAATCTAATACAATCCAATAGTTCATTTATTATGAGTAAGTTTTATGTTTACATAGTCGCATGACCATGCGTTTATATTAGATCTTTTATGAGTACTAAACATCAATGTTCGTTAGATGGATTGATTTATTCGGTGTAAACAACAAGTTTAACCCAGACGAAAGTCTGAAGAAAGCTATTTTCAGCGGGGGTCCTTCTGGTTGTGATTGGGCAGTATTGGGCAGCTCTACGAACACATAAGATTGCAGTTTATCCTGTTTCCATTTAATAACGGGTGGAATAGTAAAATTAATGCAAAAGTGAAGAAGATATTTAAAAATACAAATAATTAATAATTACTTTTAAAATTATATTGAATATATACATTACCGAAAGGTCCACTGATTAATCTCAGATTAGATAGTATATACTCCCAAGTATCGAAATGCACGCCATCGTGTCGGGATTCAATATTTCCTGATGATGACATAATTAATGTCGAAATATTGAATCCCGACACGATGGCGTGCATTTCGATATTAGGAGTATGTATTATACTATCTTATATACATTACCAATAGGACGAAAATCTGGTTGAAGTTTATGGGTCCTTTCATAAAGTTAGGCCTAAATAGCATTAATAAATAATTAAAAGATTCTCAAAGAATTTCATCTGGTTTCACAAATATAGTATACAAATATCTGTTTTGTTGAACCGATTAGTTGCTTACTTTAGCAACGTTTTCAGCAACTACTTCGGTCACTTTCTTCAGGCTAATGAAATCTTGATTGAATTGGGTCGTTCACGCTTCAGTGAGTAAGTGCGCCATCACGAGTTTAAGCCGGCTCTGTTTGAATAATAATCCAACAGAACATAAGTAAGCGTAATCAAAACATTGTACGACAGATGCCAGGCAATTATCTCGACAGAAAATGGAAAATAACAAAAAATTTCTCTCACTAAAGATGCCCTAAATATACGTGGATACCCAGACTGGTGCTTTGAAAGAGAGAAAAACAAGAGGGGTCAGAAAGAAAACAACAAGCAACATCTGTCTACACAAGAGAAACAAAAAAGCATGACCAGTGTTGGGCTCCCATATCCCAGGAACAACAGAACGTCTGAGAAGATCTTTCAAAAGCCACAATGTTAACACATTCATAAAACCAGAAAACAAGCTCAGAGAAAACATAGTACACCCTAAAGACAGAATCCAACAAGAACAATTTCAGCTAGGCCTAGCCTAGTCCTAACACTGACGATTCGATGGATCGGGTTAACATATTATGCCGATACGGCTATTCTTTCGCAATGCCATAGTGCAGGGTGTCCCGAAAGCTCAGACCACGAAAGCTAAGACCTAAGACCACGAGATATCAGACCCACTCAAAATATCAGACTACCCCGCAAATTAAGACCCTAAATTAAGTATGCCAGGATTTCCAGACAATAATACCTTTATTCGAAAGCTAAGATCAATAATAGAACTGACTAATCATGAAATAAACACCAGTAAGTATTATCGATACCAGCCATGGAGTTATAATTATTTTGATAATATTATAACTCCATGTTACCAGCTAGGCCCCTATTTGCGACGTTTACTGGAGAAAACAAATACAGTACAAACAAACCGTTGTCTACTCCACGGAACCGCAGTTTCTAATGCACATCGTGCGAATATCTGATACTGTATTATGATTCTCGATCGTTCTCGATAATAATAATATTAATAATAATAATAGTATTATTATTAATAATAATAATAAATAATAATAATAATGATAATG